ACAGTATAATTTATAAAAACTATTTTAAAAAATTGCTATGTGAATGAGAACATGTAGCACATATAAAATAGTTGTTATCCCTATTTGGCTGCAAAAGTGGAAATATGTTTTAAAGGTTAATGCAAGTACTTGTAGAAACCTATACTTTTGCAGTGTTAACTTAGAAATACCGCGTTTCCCCGAAAATAAGACACTGTCTTATATTTTTTTGGGCTCAAAAAATCACACTAGGTCTTATTTTTTTTGTTTCTAGTGTACAACAATCCACACTTATTCATGTACAGCAGTCTACATGTATTCATGTACAAAAATATGGTGATCAGGGCAATCAGGGGTGCCGTACCTTTCCAAGAGCAACTTGCTAACCAATCGCTGGCCAGAATGAGCGAAGCGCACTTTCACTATCGATTCCTCACAGGCGGAGTGCATTTGGTATCACTCCGCCTGTGACAGGAGCCGGCGCCATAGAGGAGGCATCAGCTTATGCGGCTCTGCTCCCTCCGCTGCCGCCTCGCTTCCTCTAGCGCTGGCTTCATTGGCACCACCGATTCTGTCCCGCGGCTCTTCCAAGTTCCCCCTTATGCCACCACCGACCCTGCGAATGGTCACAACTAGGTCTTATTTTTGGAGGTAGGTCTTATATTTTAGCAATTCCCAAAAATAGTACTAGGTCTTATTTTCGGGGTAGGTCTTATTTTCGGGGAACAGGGTATGTTAGTCCATAGCAGGTTAGCTTTCTGATTGGGTGATAGGGTTTAAAGCAGGTTCAAAGATTCAGGTCAGACTTGCTCTTTCACTGCCAGGCCTAGCTCTCCACTTTTAACCCCAGGTGGCCAGACCATTGTTTGCATTTTTTTTTTTTCACTTTTTTTGTTTGTTTATTTTTTACTTGCAGCTTTAAAAGTTTGTAAAACACTCCCCAAACCATTAATTAACAGGAACTGTAGAATACAAAGTTGGTGCTGTTGTTTATTTCTCTAGAATTGTGCAAAAGCTCATAAAAGCAGTATTTCCTATAAAAAAAAAGAAAACCACTAAACATTAGCGCACACTAACACACCAAGACTTAGAACATTCCTGCTATATCTAAAAGTTAACTAGTGAGTTTATAACATTTTGTAAATTTAAGATTGAACCTACACTTTTAATACACTTTTTTTATTTTTTATTTTCTTCAGGACTTCTTCTGAACGTTTGGATTCATCTCTGAATGTGTTATCGAGAGCATTAGAACATAACCGAGACAATCAAGAAATCTGGGACCACTATCTTAAATTGTTTTCTAAAAGGGGGATTGCAGAAGAAATTCAGGAAATGTGTGAGATGGCTGTGGAATATGCCCCTTCCTTTCAGATTTGGTGGAGTGTACGTGCTTTCATTCTGTTTAGTTGATTTGTGTTTACTTTGTGGAGCCACACTGAGTCCTGACGGCCAGTGCTAAAATTTCTGCCCAAGTGATGCCTCTGTGGCGCACCCAAGGACGATTTTATTTAAGTGGTTCAAGTCCATTTCCACCTTTTTGTAAGTGATTTGCATTTATTGTGGTAATGAAGGAGTGAAGTGATGTACACATGTGCACATTTTCATGGCTCACATTTTAGGCTTTCCTGTTTTTTTTTAATGAACCTTTTATTAGGCTTTAGCCTAAAAATTCAAAGGTTTCTCCACAGCAAAATCGGACAAACACCAAGGTCGGATGGCTATTTGGCTTCATTGTAACATGATTAGCAAACAGCAGCTCTGGCTTTGCACACAATACACTGTCTGGGGGAAGGGGGGTGCCATCCTGAATACTAATGAATGGGAGAGGTGAGAGTGCTTGCAAAACACAGGCAGACATTTTGACATAAGATGAAGAGGAAAGCTAGCAAAGTATGTTTGTCCTCATACACAGCAGCTGCATATATCATAGCATGTATCATTTCCCCCTCCTCTTTTAGATTGTAAGCCCTCAGGGGCAGGGCCCTCCTTACCATCTTGTCTTGAATTGTATTGTAACTGTAATGTCTTCCTTATATTGTAAAGCGCTGCGCAAACTGTTGGCGCTATATAAATACTATGTAATAATAATAATAATAATAATATGCCTGTTTCAGGTACACTTGGGGTACATTGCTGGCATAGATTTTTTAAAAATACCTCTGCAACGGTGGAAATGGGCTTTAAGTCTGATGGCATAGGAACAAACCAGCAAGCTTACTAAAATTTTATTGAATTAAAGACAAAGGAGTTTGCTTTCGATCTAATAAATGGTAACGCTTGTTTTGGCGCACACTATGTTAAGCAGCTGCTTTGCCAATCTTTTCTGGAACTGAATGATATAGCATTAAGCACTTTGCTACTAACAGAAAAAAAAAAAGCTCAGTCTGTTCACACATTTAACAAGAAAAAATAGACCCCATTATACACAGGCCTTATTTATTTATTTTTAAGTTGGCTTTTATACCCTTTCACACTTTCTTTTTGGTATAAGATTTGTGTGTACGCATAGAAAAAACGTCTTGGAAATCCTGTCTGTATCATTTGTTTATGTATATATACTGATAGTTATTTTTCTCACCCAGTTTCTGACTTTAGAGAATTCCTTTGATGGCAAGGATCAGGTGTGCAGCCGTGCATTACAGTATCTCATGCAGCGGATACAGGAAGATCAGAGATCTGAACTGCTTTCACTGCAGTGTTTAGAAATTTTGCTGTACCGTGTGCATCTAAACTTGTTCACAGGAAGACTCCAAAATGCCCATGCCATTTTACAGGTACTGCACATAATGTTTTTTGTTTTTTTGAAAAGTAATCCTTTGTAGTCTTGGAAAGCAAGGTGCTGTTTAAAGTGACTTTTCTTAATCATGCATTACAGGACACATGAGAAGTATTCAGGTACATTGGATTATGCTGCTACCTTCAGGAGATTATAGTTGCAAAAAGAGCTGTAAGTACAGCCCAGGATAACACTTCCCACTCCCAGCATGCCTCAGATTTTTGGTAGTATCCTTGGAGGATGAATTTTGTCTTGCTTTCTCTTTTTATAAAAATACCCTTTTTTTTTCTTTTAGGGAGATTATTTAGTTACTACAGAGCCACTGTGGCTAATTTTTTGTAGTTTCTGGATTGTGTGATCCATGGCAAATGCCATGGCAGTGGCTTACGTTAACCACCAAAGAGAAACCAGAAATCTTGCAGCTCAAAGAGAAGCGGGTCTCATTCTGGCTTGGGCACAACTACAGTGGTTTACAAAAAGTATTCACCCCATTTGCTGTTTTTCTTGTTACAACCTGGAATTAAACTGGATTTTTAGGGGGGTTTGTACCAGTCCAACTATTACTTTCTCAAGGCACTGTACATGTTCTAGCCCTTTCCATCGTGCACATTCCAGGTGTGGAAAATTGGCAATCAGACTTTCTTTTAATCAACATCTGGATGCAAGAGAGCGGTCTCTTTACCCAGAGGTGTTCCAAGACCTCTGTTACAGATGGGCAATGCAGGACATGGACTTCCTGGCTTCCTGGTTCAACAACATACTGAGTAAGCCTTTCTCCAGGTCCAGAGAACCTCTTGCTGTCACAGCGGATGCTTTTGTGATTCAATTGGATCAATTCAGCCTGGTCTACGCCTTCCCTCCTCTGAAACTCCTTCCTCGCTTGATCCACAGGATTGAGATTGATGGCATCCTGGTGATTATCCTTGCACCAAAGTAACTTAGGAGGGCATGGTACTCAGATCTTATCAGCCTCCTTGGGGTCTTTTTGCCGGCCTTCCCACATTGTCCAGACCTTTTGTCCCAGGGACTAGTTTACCATGCTACTTCTCTGTCACTGCCTTTTAACATTGCACCTGGAAGGTTTATGCCTCTTGGTACAAGGCTGGAAATTTCCATCACAGGAAGGGCTTAGTGGTATAAATCTGGTCTTTCCTCCTGGTCTAGATTAGCATTTAGCCTTCAGTGCAGTGAAGTTGCAAATTATAGCCTTGGTGGTTCTTTTTCACCTACCTGTGAGGCAGGTTTCGGAGTTTGGATCGGATGGTGCTTCATGGGCTTTTTGGCATCGCTTTTCTATTTTTCACAGGTTTGCACTTATGGTTATACCGTGCTTCTTGCAGTTCTATGAGCTCAGTCAAGCCCTTTGTTAGCATGTTGGTTATTTGGGCCTGTTGCCATTTTTTGTTTGCTGTGTTGCCCAGTTTATGTTGGACTGTTTTTGAATGTCCCTGAATACTTCCCCTGTGTCTTGTAATGTACGATTATAAAAACAGGATTATTGGCTTTCCGTAAAATCCTTTTCTTGGTCTACATTACAAGGCACAAGTCCCTCCTTTTTGTTTAAGATACACTACTATTGCCAATTCCAAGTAGGGATTGAGCTGCACTGTCCTTTACAGCCAGTGTCCAATCTGCAGAGGGCAGCATTATAACCCAATGTAAATAGATTTTTCTCCTGTGTCCTGAAATGTACGACAAGAAATAGAGTTTACTAGTCAAAAATCCTATTTTTTTATCTGATTTTGACAGTGTTCCTTACTGTCCTTTTGTTGAGAAGAGGGGGCTTTGGTAAGCCACAGGTATTGTATGCAGTCAGAGCAGCATTCTCTGAACGTCAGACAAAACATTTTCTCCTTTAGAGGTGATGTCATATTCAGTAAAGCAGACTTATTTTGGCTTTGCATTCAAAGAAATGTATTTCTCATTGAAAGGTTTCTGTGCCCTCTTAACGAGTGGAAAAAAAAAAGTCATAAATCCTGTAGCTGCGGCACTTTTTTTTTTTTCTTGGCCCTCAGTCAGTTTAGGCCCCATTCACACTTTCAAATGGTGCTCAGATTTCAAATTTCTCCATGAAACTTATTTGATCAGCTTCGAGCAGGAGGTTCGCACCACACCCCCATAGCTGTTTGCATGTAATCTCACAAACTGTAATTGCCTTAGGACGATCGCATCTTGACCCAGTCTGTATCCAGGTGCAGTTGTCTGCAGGTACAACATGTATCATTACATGTGAATGGCCTGCAAACAGCTGTGGCCTGAGGAATTTACGACAAGTGATCCAGGACACTTGTGTGAATGGAGCCTTAAGGGTTTGAATGAGGACCTAGACTAGTCAGAAAGCCAATGCAGTCTGAGTCCTGCTCGAGTTTGGAGAACTCATTAGGGCAGAGTTAATTATTTAAAGGAGAACTATGGGGTTAAGTCTTCCCCATAGTTCTCCGGGTAACGGGAGGACACAAACTAGCGTCGTCTTGTCATCCTGGGCTCAGTATACCGCGAGCTGTAGCTCGCAGTATACTGAGACGCCGCAGTATACCGCGACTGCTGCTCGCGGTATACTGAGACGCCGCAGCTGAAGCGGATCCCGACAATTGTGCCGGGATACGCCCAGCTGTGTGACTGACAGCTGGCTCTGCCTATCTAGAGGCAGCCAGCTGTACCCCGCACCCGCCCGCCCCCTTTTTTACATCCATTTTCCTTCCAAGGGCCCGTGCTGCTCGACTAAAGACTCTAAAAAGAAGAATGGGAGAGCTAAGTTGGGCAGATTAATCTGCTCTGTCCTCCTATCAACATTCCTTCTCAGAACATTTGCATAAATTACATTTGATTTGGCTTGTAATCCTGCCCCTCTCTCAAGAGGCTAATAAGTCAAAATTAGGTACTTGTGCTAAATGACTTTAACAACCTGGAGTTCAGCATTGTTGGTGGTGGTTAAGGTTTATTTTCCATGATTTATTTTTTTTTTTTCCTTATGTGTCTTGTTTTTCAATATCTAACTGGATTCAATTTAATTATATTTTTTTAATATGCTTCACAGAATGCTTTAAAGTCTCCTAGTGAGAAGAGTGTAGCAGATCACCTTACTCCCCAGGATCGCTGCTTAGCATGGCTTTCTTACATTCACCTCATGGAGTACAATACTCTGCCTGCCAATTTCTATGACCCAACAAATGCAAACCCTTCCAGGATAGTTAACAAGGAGCCATTTATAATGCACGGGCTGAATTCCAAAAGTGTAAAGACTGCTCCTACCATGCTGCTTGCTCTATTTGAAGGTGTGTCAGAGTTGATATTTTGCATGCATTTTTTTTTTTTCTCCTTGCTTTTTAGCTGTAACAATTCTTGTACTGCACAGTAAGGGCATTGCTAAAGGTTGAGAGTAGTAGCTTGTCTTGTAAATTTTATTTGTTCGTTTTACATAATGGCTTTAGTCATGTTTTTAGGCAATATAAAATAAACTAAAAAGGTGTTAATAAACATTTGCAGAGGTATTAAATATCAGTAGCGGCATTATTGAAGATGTTTGTCACAGTAGCACTTGCCTTTATAGAGCTCCCTTTATAGTTAACTACTTTTTTGTCAGTGTTATAACGCAAGCCTTTAGTCTAGCTTTCATAATACAGGGTCTCTGCCTACGTCCATAACTGACGTATAGGGATGTAGTCCATGCCCCATACACACACATAAGGATACGACATGTCCTATCTATTGCTGAAGACAGGTGATCTGAGAAAGGTGTCCTATGGTGTAGAAGACAAATAAGATCTGAAAGCAAAAGTGGAAAGACGGTGGATTGAGAAAATGGATGTGCTTTGGGTGGCAAATGTTCTACGCAATGTATATTCTAAAAAAAAAAAGGCCCCTGGTTGCTCAAATTGGCCTATATACTGTGTGGATTATACCCGTGAAGTATATCCACACAGCCCAAGTATTGCATTACAGTCCTGTGATTTTATATCGTTTTATATATTTATGAAAGGATTTTCAGTAGCTGCATTAAAGCAGAAGCTGCTAAGAAATAAAAGAAATAAAATGTGCAGATGGCAAGAAATTCCTTCAGAAACTGAGCAATGCCTTTGTTGTCCACTACATTATGCATGCGCTACATTTAAAAAAAATTATTATACTTGTAAACTGAAATATTCCAGACTGTTAAAAAATAATTAAATCAATTGGATTTTCAATTGGAAATAATATCTCTGCAATATAACAAAGATGTATAGATTACCTGTTTTAAATGTTTGCAGGGTACATATTACTTTAATACAAAGCTGTTTTTACCATGTGTGCTAGAATTGCAGCTGTTCGTCAGTTTTGAAACGTGCCCCCTGTCAGCACGAGCGTTGCAAACCACAGGCTGTCTCTAAAAGCCAAGGTCCAGCACCAAGCTCAGGAGCTGAAAACTTTCAGCTCCTGAGCTTCTATGGCTTGCAGCATAGAAGTGCACTTTAGAAGCAAATAAACTCAAGACACAAGTAAACTCAGTGCTTCTGCTTTCTTTTTACATTAGGAGTGGAGTGATGTCATGGCACTCTTGAATTACTTGGGACATGTGTTACTCCCTGCAGAGATAGATCCCTGCTATAGTGATCTATTGCTGATTGAGTGTAGCCAGCAATAGATCACTGTTGGAAGTGATTTGCTGCTGCAAAGCTGCCACTGATAAGTGGAGACCTGATCCAGACCCTCCATGATTTGGTGCTGTTGCTCCAATCACCTCAGGGTCATTGTCCAACCCTAACTATACTACTTTTGGACATCCCATGATCTGTGACTGAGATCCAGTGCCCCGGACTATACGATTAACAAAATAGGATTTTTTTTTTTGCCGGCAAAATCGTGTTGGGGTACAGTAATGAATACAGGCCATTATTCTCTGTTCATATAATTCACTCCTTGTCCTTTGTAAAGGCTTGCTGGTTGTGGGTGGTGTTATATGGGGCTTCTCCTTAAAACTTTGTTGCCAGTGTCCAGTCACCTGAAGGTAGCTGCATATAACCCATGGTGTGACAGATCTTGTATCCTGTACTGTACTCCAAGCAAATAATTTTACAGGTCAAAAATCCTTTTGCCTAATTTTTTACTATTCCCACTCAAAACCAAGAAAATAAAAATGTGTCTAAATTTGCATGTAACTAAGACCCATCTGGCCCAAAAAAGTAATGTATAACACGTTGGGCTATACTATAAAACCTAAAAGATATAATATGCAAAACTGAGACTTTGCAGAAAAAAACATCCTGTTACTCTAGGGGATTTAGGGAGAAAAAGGCTTGGGGACTCATGTTAAACTCATAGGAAAATCCAGGTTCTTCTGTCCATCATCATAGAAGATAAGCGTGAAAATTAAATTTCTCTGTCGTCCATTGAGGGGGACAGCCCGATGGTAATAAACCTGGGGTTATACCAACACTTATAGAAGAAATGGACGCTAGCTAATAGAAAACAGAAGGTCAGCTGCCTAAACATTGTAACTCCTCCCTCCTCAAACCTGCTTAGTTTTGTCTTTGGGGAAATGTATGACTCTTGCTTTCTGTTATATTTTTTGCTTGAATTGGAAGATTTTCTACTACCAACAGCTACTGATAGATCCAGGCCAGATATTGGAAATCCTGGAAGTCTCTCCAGCTAGCCAATGAGCACAGGTTTTTCCAGTTCAGCTAGGATACCGATGTTCTCTCCCTGACATGTCTGCATTTGGCAGTGTCAACCCGTCTGTGTTCCAGTTAGGTCTCCGCTATTCAGATCACACAAGTGTATCTGGGGATTCCTTGCCAAGTTATCTGGGCCCGAGCTGTGCCAGTTTCTCCTGTCTCTGAAGAGTTGCGTCTTGTGATTTCTTAGCACGCTATGTGCTGTGTTGAGAACCCTTTTCCACTCCATTTCACCTGAGGCTTTAGGTTTTAATTGACTGGGTTCTTTGTAAAGGGTAATAAAATCTCTCCTTTTATTCTGAACTTGATTATGTACTTGGTTGTTTTTTTTTGGGGGGGGGGGGTTTGACTTGGTCT